ATCTTTTATTTTAGAGCTCTACGTATGTTATGAATGATCAGTTTCCTTTGCTGTTACTTATTCTTTCAGGTTAATTTGCATGTTATAGGTATAGCTGAAGCATACATATTGGGGAATTGTATGCTTTCCCCCCAATTCTTTCACACTTCTTTAAAGTATTTGCTCTAAGAAATGGGGTGGGGAGAGATCATGAGGTACTGTAGCATGTTGAATTAAAAAACTGAGCAAAAAACGTCTCCTCCTGGAGCAATAGGGCACCTCCTCGTCAAACCAGTATTAAGAACGCTGAGGTAGAAAGACAGATTGTGCAAATCTTTGCAGAATCATTTATAGACTTCTTCACTTACAGAACATGCATTTTAAAACAGTTGTCAAGTGTAGTGAGTAGATACGTTCCTCCTGCCAAGTTCATTTCTGTTAATCCGGAGAAGAGAGCATTCAGCGCTTCCTTGGGGGTGGGGTAGATTTTCTTTTGGGTGCTGTTCAGAGCTTTTGTGCAAATGTGGCTGTCATCCGGGGGATGTCCTCAAAAACCTGGCAGGAAAAGCCGGGCTGGCAGGCCTCGCAGCCATTTCTACAAGATGAGAAATGAAGAAATGTTCATTAATGTATTATAGGCTGCAATAGATCCGTTACAAATAATTTAGGCTTTCTGGGCTGCAACATCTGTCACAATTATCCAGTTCTTGTGTTGAAGCACAGAGGCAGCCAGAGATAGTATCTAAATGAGTGAGCCTGGCTGTGTTCCAATAAAACTTTATTTAAAAAGGTAGGTGGTGAACGCCAGGTGTGACGGTGCACACCTGCAACCCCAGCCCACAGGAGGCTGAGGCAGGAGGAGTGCCACAAGTTCAAGGCCAGCCTGGGATACATCGTGAGTTCAAGGTCAGCCTGACTACAAAGCAAGAACCTATGTCAAAAAACCAAAACATGAAAAACAAAGTGGATGGCGAGCTAGATGGCAAACACAGTTTGTCAACTCCTGTCCTAAAGTTGGGATGGAAGGGAGCTAATGGCAAATGTAAGTGCTTTGGAGTTTGAGGTCGGAAACTTCCTCCTCCCGGGACTTTGAGCAACACAAAGAGGTTGGGGCAAAATAAGTATTTTGCCATTAACATAAGATTTATATTTGCTATCAAGTTTTCATTACTTAGATCTATCCTAATTAAATTCATGCTGAGCTATTGCATTGTGGTAAAATCTACTTCTCATCTTTAGCAGAGAGCCGCAGGAAGAATTAGAAAACCAGCTACGGGAAATTCTTAAGGGACAGCATTATTAATTTGTGCCTATTGTAGCTTAATATGTATATAAAACCTAGCTACTAAATGACATCTCTTTTCTGCTTCATTACAATGATATGTCCAACTTTAGCATATGGAAACATTTCTGCAGCGTAAGTTATTTGGAGGAAAGGACATAATTTGTAAATGCTGTCAAGTAAACTGTGCACTTTCAAATGCTGCTCGGTGACTGGACGCATCCCTGTAAAGCTCGCAAATAGCACAGGGAAGGAGTAGCTCTTGCCAGATGTTTCTACCCCCAAGTCTTCTTCCCCTTATTCCGGCTGTATGAAAAGTCGCACAAACAATTGCTCAGCTGTCTGTTCTTAGTAATTACTGAATGATACTTGCCCTTTTTTGTTTTGTTTTAGACAGGTCTCGTTATGTAGTACAGGCTGGCCTTGAACTCACTGTGTGGCCCAGGGTGGCCTCAAACTCACAGTGATCCTCCTGCCTCAGTTTCCCAAGTGCCAGGATTACACTTGGAGGTATGCACTACCACACGCAGCCACATGATTGTGTTTTTAAAACTTGCAAAGGGCTAAGGATGTAGCTCAGCGGCAAGGTGCCTGCCTGGCAAGCATGAGGTCCTGAGTTCGCTTCCCAGCTCCACAAACAAAACTTTTTATGGTTTTATTTCTGGCTAAAATGGGACTAAGAACAAGAACCTCCACCCATATTTTAGTAAAAACAATAAGCTGTTATTAAGGGAAAATATGTAGACCGTAGAATGCTTTTTAAATTAATGAAATTGTCCTACTGTGTGCCTTGCCCATATTCATTAAATGTTTTGTTTTTTCATTTCTTGACTCTGTGTTTGGTACAGGGTCTCGCTAAGCAGCTCAGAGTTGTGGAGAGCCTCCTGTCTTCAGCCTCCCCAGCCCTGGGATTATAAGCATGCGCCAGTGTGCGGGACTCAGTTGCCGGCTCAGTGTGCCCGGGGGCGGGGCCGGCACAGCATGTGGGACTGCGGATCAAACCCTGGTCCCTGCGCCGGTCCCCAGTATCAGTGTTCTGGTCAGCATACTGTACACA